CAACCAGCCAACCAACCAATCAACCAAATCACTCAATTAAACGCCCTTCCCTCATCACCAGCACCACCTGCCCCATCTTCCCTTCCCCTACTCTTAATCCAATGTCCTCCTCTATCACCACATCTATCAATCCATCCATCTTCATACCACCCTTCATAATCCCATATCCCACTCCAAATGCACTTCCTTGCACTCACTTAAGTGCTAATCAATCCCTATTGATCTAAACCCACACCACTCGCTTTTATCTATTTATATATTTATTCATCTACATATTTATATATTCTTGTAACGTCAAGTGTTATCTATATAATATTATATAATCATGCCGCTGCCATACAAGGAGCGCTTTACCGCTCGATATAATAAACCAAAACTAACCATAACGTTCAGAATCGAAATACATGCGCCTGAGTCTCGAAACGAAAAGTATACCCCGTCCTTGGTTACGGTATAACTTCGGGTCTCCACATTCACGGAGGCAGACGAAGACTCATGCAGCGAATGTCGACCCGTATCTGCCGTTATTCGATCTATCAAATCCCTTAAACACAATAACATTAATAATAATAATAATAATCATACATGTATATTAATAATATACATATACAATAATAATAATAATAAATAATAATAAAAACAATAAAAAACAAAAAATAAAAAACTAACCAATGAGATTCGTCCCAAACCGCCGGCGCATCGCCGCTCGCATCCACCTGCGCCGCGTACAGCCTAAACGTCTCCTTACACGAGCGTGCGTTACCCGGGAATTCTGTACAGTCACGCATTGTAAAGGATACCTGAATTATTTTACCTTTATTACTTACTCATTAACTCATTAATTATCTTCATTACCTATTCATTAACAACAACAACTATAATAGCAAAGGCACTCCTTCTTTACTTTAGCAGCGCTCGCACGCCGCACGCTCACACACCGCCCACTCGCCCGCCCACACTCGCGTGCGTGCGTACGTACGTGCGTGCTCACACTTGCCTGACTTCGCCTGAACATGCGTGCGCGTGCGCGTGCACGCTCGCGTCAAACACTACTATTACGTAAAAATATCAAAAAAATTCTAAAAAATAAAAATTCTAAAATTCCAAAAACTAAAAATCCACCTCCACATGCATCCTATTCGCCCCATTCCTATCGATCCTCGGCGTCCTCAGCCAATTGTCCACGTTCGGATGCTCCACGTTACAGACCACGTACGCTCGTCGATTCTCGATGCCTTCGGGCCCTCGGTAAGTCTCTTCCAGCCACTATTATATTATTATCATTATATACAATAATAAATAATAATAAATAATAATAACAATAAATAATAATAAATAATAATAAATAATACCAACAATAAACAACAATATATAATAATAAATCTAAAAATAATAATAATAACAATCATTATTTTATCCCCCAAGCCATTCCATCGACCCACCCACCCATTTCCCCAATTAACAACTCCCAAATCCCCATTCCCACCACCAACTGTGAATAAATCAATTTCATTTTTCTATCTCTGCCGCTTCCTGTTTTCCCACACTCTTTTTTTGCCATTAACCATCAGCCATTTCTCAGCATTCTTCCTATTATGCCCTATTATCTCACATTATACTAGTGCAATGGGTTTAAAAATCAATTCCACTAATACATTCACAATAAAAAATATATTAAATTAAAATGTCAATAATAATAATAAATAATAATAATAAATAATAATAAAAATAAATAATAATAAAAATAAACAAATAACAAATCACACAATCATCCCCTAACCTTCCCTAAACCTTCCCCATTTCCCTCCAATCAAAATACCTCAAATCACCCTCCAATCACTATAATTACATTACATTAATCCTGTTCCCTTTTGTATTCTCCTCTTCACAATCAAAAAATACACTTTCCAAATCACATTTTCTATCTAAAAAATCCCACCAATTAAAAAATTCCCTAAAAAATTCCCAAATACCCATAAAAATAATTCAAAATACATCAAATATTTCATAAAAAACACTAAAACCAACTAAATAATACCACCCCAAATAACAAAACAATCACTAAAATGCCCTCGGATTGCACTCAGCAAATTATTTAATTTAACAGAATCATTAAAAAATTCCTCACCAACCACCTAATTGTACCTTATCAACCCTATCACCCATTCCTCTTTTCCTTACACATACATACATATAATTAATAAAACACAAGCAAATAACAACAAATAACAATAATAATAATAAATAATACCAATAATAATAATAATAATAATAAATAATAATAAATAATACAACAATAATAATAAATAATAATACTATCAAACACCAAAATAAACCCAAACACACCCCAATTTCGTCCTCATCCATATTCGAATGCGTCCTCCATCGCAACTCCGTTGTCGAATTCGACGTGTCCAATAAGATTACTGAAAATTTTTTCAATTTCAAATTTTCAAATTTTTGCAGCCCTAAATTCTAAATTCTAAATTTTAAATAATAATAATAATAAAAACAACAATAACAATAATAACAAAAACAATAACAACATATAATAAAACAAACCAATACCCACCCCCCCCACTACAAACCACCCACATCAATCCAGATCCCCTCCAATCCCAATCCCAATCCAAATCCCAACTTTCTACCCTCTCTAAACCAATCAACCTACTCTACCATTCAATCAAGTTTATAAAAATTACTTACTCCAATACAATTACTACTTAAACCATATACACATTACTACTNTAATATACATCCACTACCCATTACATACCCATAAAACAATACTAAAATGGCCCCATTCCCTCTGAAATAACTCAATTTTCCCTTATGAAACTTCAAATCGCACAAAAAACACCATTCAACTGCACATAACTATCTAATTATATGTACGGTTATATTTCACTGCCACCATTACTATTATTTATTATTATTATACATAACAATAATAATAATAAATAATACTAAATACCAATAATAAATAATAATAAATAACAATAATAAATAATACAGCCCACTAAACCCCTGAACAATCTCCCAGTTCAGTCAGTCAAATTCAGTCCAATTCTAAGCCATCTGTAAGCAATGGTGATTAATTATATAATACATCACTCGACTATGCAACAATACAACTATAACCCTATTATTATAGATTATCTATTATTTATTATTATTATTGTTATTATTATATATTATATATTATTATATATTATTATCTCATAAGACATTAATCTGCCCATTGTATTAAATTATATCCGTGAATTGACTCTAATTGTTACATATGGTGCAATTCATCCATATATTATTCATCTCATAACTTGACTTTACCATATCATAATAATAATAATAATAATATTAATAATAATAATAATATTAATAATA